AAAGGAAACGAGTAGAGGAAGGAAAAATTATGAAAAGGAAAAAAGAATGAAGAATTAAGAAAAGGAAAAAAGAGAAGGAAGACAAAAAAGTAGAGTAAGAAGATGAAAGATAAAAATAAGAGATGAAAAAAAGAGAAAAAATAATAACGCAATAAAAAAGAAAACATAAAGTAATGAAAAAGAAAAAAAGCAAAGTGGAGGTCAGCAGAGTTTAGTGCCTGCTGCGATCTCCCTTTGGATCCTGCTCTTATGTTTACTGAGGCTTTTTTGCATGCCAGTTATGGGCTTCCTGGGAGGTACTTTGGTGCTAGCCACTGTCAGAAGCCTTCCTTTTTTGGCTCTTGGGAACCTGTGTGAAGCTTCAAGTGATCCACAGTTTGTGGCTGCCTCCCCAGGGCTTGGCTGTGCACGGACGTGTCCAAGCTGCGCTCCAAGGCTGGTTTTTTAGCAGCATGGGACCCAGGGTAGACCATGAGTTTGAGAACCAGATTTAAATCCTGGCTCCTCCCTGTACTGGATATATGACTTTGGACAAGTCACTTAACCTTTTTGAGGTTCAATTTTTTTTCGTGTATAAAAGGGAAATATATTTACTTACCATTTTTTAAAGTAACAAATGAGAAAATATACATAAAGTATCCAGCATAATCACTAACACTTTAATCACTGAGAGGTTTATTCTCATTCCTAGGTCCAGAATTTGCAGATTTGAGGTATCCTGCTTCTAATCTTCAGGGGATGAATGATTGCTGGCTGGAATCTTATCTTTGTGGAGCAAATATAATGGATCACTTAGACCTATCAGGTCCATCAACCTTACTCCTTTTAACACATTGTATGCGGGAAACGTATTTATACGTTTTACTTATACGTTTTACGTTGACTGGTAGTAGAGCGCAGGACACGTATTAATACGTTTTTTATAGACTAGCGGTAGAATGCGGGTAACGTATAAATACGTAAACTAAAGTTATCATAATTTTACTGAACGTTGCCATTTGTGCAAAAAATTAGCAAAAATGGCCCACGCCACCTAATAGCGCGCGATAAAAACTACCCACAAACAATGTGTTAATAGATACCTTAAATGGTAGAGCCATATGTCTTAAATGAGTCTCTACTAGCATTTAAGTCAGCCGTGGGCAAACTACGGCCCGCGGGCTGGATCCAGCCCGTTTGAAATGAATAAAACTAAAAAAAAACAAAAAATCGTACCCTTTTATGTAATGATGTTTACTTTGAATTTATATTAGTTCACACAAACACTCCACCCATGCTTTTGTTCCGGCCCTCTGGTCCAGTTTAAGAACCCATTGTGGCCCTCGAGTCAAAAAGTTTGCCCACCCCTGATTTAAGTCCTGAAAGCGGAAGTGTTTGGGCATAGGTGGAATTCTATATAATAAAAGACTAATATGAAAATCAACCAAACAGCGGAACAACTGGTCACTATGATGCACACTGACCACTGGGGGGCAGACGCTCAATGGAGGAGCTGCCCCCTGGTGGTCAGTGCACTCCCACAGGGGGAGTGCTGCTCAGCCAGAAGCTGTGAGCCAGGCTCAATGCTGGCAAGTGCAACAGCAGTGGCGGGAGCCTCTTCCGCCTCCATGGCAGCACTAACGATGTCCAACTGCCATCAGTTAGACATCCTCTGCAGGCTCCCGGACTGCGAGAAGGTGCAAGCTGGGCTGAGGGGACCCCCCCCCCCCGCCCCCGAGTGCATGAATTCCGTGCACCAGGTCTCTAGTATTTATTTATATATGTTTTTTCCAGTTGGCTTTCTGAAGAAAATGTAGGAAAAGTGGTTAGTTGGCCTTGAAGAACAGAATTTTTATCTCTATGCTTACTAGTATAGTAGCAACTGATATTGTAGTATTTCTTTGAGATGTCATATGGTACTTCTTTTAAATACTAAAGAGACCATTTTTGGCCAGGAAAACACTTGCTTAGCCTCATCAAAAAGCTTTTAAAATGAAGTTTGAGAAGGGAGAAAATATTCCAAATAGATAGCATCCTATGGAGTAAAATTAGTGACATAGAAGATTAGAGAAGGATGTGCCTATGACTCCCAGAACACAAAGAACAGATGCTGAAGATTCCTGACCTTTTCTACATAATAAATGCTCAATGTAATCTTGAGAAAAGTAGAATAAATGCAGGGGTTTTTTGGGTGCCACTGAGAATTGGTGAGAAGAGTTCATGACTGGGCATTTGAATGCTTCCTAGAGGCACTATGTTAAGTAACCATTTCTCATTTAATCTTTATAAAAATGTTATGAAGTAGATATGTACAGCAATTTACTCCCAGTTTTAGTACAAAAACTGTGACTGAAGACAGTTAAGTATTTAGAGCTAGTAATCAACTTTTGATGAGTAACAGGACAATGATATAATTTAATTACTTTGTTTTCTAACCGTACTCTTTCTCTCATATGCTATGGCTGGCTTGATCCTTGACTTTCCAGGATAGCAGTGCGAGTGAGCACACTCTCATTACCTCCCTCACACAGAATTTGGGAGCGAGTGAGTCATGGTTACAGTTGGCACCAATATATTTTGCTACTCTGTTAGCCACATGACAGTTCTACTCTGAACAAAGGACAACGAAATATAAGAAGTAGTCATCCTCTTCCTCCAACTTCTGATAGTAGCAGTAATTCTTCACTGTGCTAAATGATCATCAGTCATACGTGGTGTCATTCATTTAGTTGTTCACTGTCTACCTGCATCTCCACTGTCTAATCCAGGGGTGGGCAAACTTTTTGACTCGAGGGCCACAATGGGTTCTTAAACTGGACCGGAGGGCCGGAAAAAAGCATGGATGGAGTGTTTGTGTGAACTAATATAAATTCAAAGTAAACATCATTACATAAAAGGGTACGGTCTTTTTATTTTTTATTTTTATTCATTTCAAACGGCCGGATCCGGCCTGCGGGCCGTAGTTTGACCACGGCTGGTAATCCATCAGCAGAGCCATCCTGAGTTTCGTGTAATCTCACTTCAGGTCATCCACAGTAACCCTTCCAGTTTCTTATGTACTTGCCAATCTCTTTCGTTTTATTTTCTAGTCTTATTCCTTGAATCTTACCTTGTCTGCCTTCTATTCATAATGTCCCTTCTGGAAAGCTTTCTCAAGGCAGAGTTTAGGTACTTTCTCTTTGTGTATTGATTTTTTTTTCAAGTATCTGACGATTTTTAGTTGTCTATTGATATTATGAGTGAAGGTTTAGGTTCTAGACCAAGGGTGGGGAATGTCCAGCCCACAGGAAGTACACCATAAGGCCCAGAAATCATTTGGTCTGGCCCTGCCAAGGCATTAGGGGTGAGTTAATTAAATGTTTGACCAAATATAGCAGGCTCAGTTTTACATTGATAATTTTGCATGGTTCATGAATGATGTTGTAAATATCCAAATGGCCCTTGGCAGAGAAAAGATTCCCCACCCCTGTGTAGACTGTATGGCATTAGTGTAGGTTACTGGAGTGTGTTCCCCTTAACTTTGGTTAACTTCTATTACCCAGTAGGCTCCTCCCTCAAGCAGGAGGGCTGATGCTGTGCTCTAGGTATGGTTGGCAGGCTTCACTTTAGGGTGTGAGGGAGGGGAGTGGCCGTGGTTTCCAATAAGAAGGCTTAGTTTCTTATTTTCTTTTTTTAATTTGTAAGCACCTTTTCTTTGCCAGATCTTTACTCAGTAAAGTCTTCATTTAGTATGTTCAAAATGTAAGGTTTAGAGTCTATAGAAAGTGTGTGTGTTTTTTTTGTTTTGGTTTTAGGCTGGTTTCAATTGCAGCTACACCTTTAGCCAAATAGTCATGGGAATGGAAAGTGCTTGGGAGGAGTTGAATCCCAGCCTTTTGAATCCTAGGGCACTTCCGCTCCATTCCTATTTCTGCTCTTCCAGCTCTGACCTTGGAGCCTCTCTAGAGTGCCACCAGAGGATGGCACATACATTCATTTAGGACTTTTGTGTTTATTCTTGGGTTGGGGCTACTTTTGCTTTTGTTTATTTCTCAACTCTGAATAGATTTATTACCTTTTTTCCTCCTATCATTTCAGTAAGATAAATGGAAAAGAAGAGGCAAGCACATTAGCCTAGTCTATCATTTTGAAGTCCTGAACCAGCAGTTCTTTTGACAAGTTTGAGTATTTGTGATTTTAAGAATTAAAACAAGCTTATTTAATGAATGTATTGTTTCACAAGTATTTATAGAATAGTTTGGAATGCTTATAGAATGTGAAGTTATTGTAATGTTGAAATACATCATCTGTGTATGACTAACTTGTATTTTAAAAATGGTTATAAAGCTTTTTAGAGCAAGGACAGCCATAGATACCCCAAATACCTAGGCAGGAGAGGATTGTGGTGCAGTTCCAGGCATTGCCATTAGCTAGTAGTAAATTATAATTGGGGTCAGAAACAAGGTAACTCTAATTGTTTCCCAGACAAAAAGGACTGTCTGGCAAGATTGTAACATTTGTTAATTTTAGGTTGTCTTCCTTGATATGATCTATCTATCTATCTATCTATCTATCTATCTATCTATCTATCTATATAAAGCCTAATATGCAAAGTGTCCCCTTGGGAGTTTGACTGGGAGTTTGATCGCTCACTATGACATGCACTGACCACCAAGGGGCGGTGCAGAGCGAAGGAAGGCCCGGGCCAGCAGCCAGGGAAGGGAGGCTCCGGCCGGCAGCCGGAAGGCCTGGATCGGCTCTGATCACTGGCCAGGCCTAGGTACCCTACTCGTGCATGAATTTTGTGTGCCGGGCCTCTAGTATTGAGATAAAACCTCTATTACATGTGGTTTACTAAAGAAAAGGACTGTCTGGTGGCCCTATAGTTAGATTTAGGTTGCAATTTGTGCTTATTTTAGTGAATGATAAAAGAATAATTTGCCATGTCTGTACTTGTAATAGAGTGAAAATGAATCTGTATGCAACATTATTTTTATTTCTTAATACGTTTTGGGAAAGTTAATTGCAACTGTATGGTTCAGGGATTTAGTGCAAGAAGAAGAACAGTTGATGGAAGAAAAGAAAAAGAAAAAAGACGACAAGAAAAAGAAGGAAGCTGCTCAAAAGAAGGTAGTATATGTATAAACTTTATATTAAGCAGTTTAAACATAAATTTAAAAATAAAATTATTCTTATCGAATTTTTAAAGCATTTGATTTAATGTTTTAACTTCAGTGGAGTTTCATTTTAAGCTTTAATGTCTTTGACTATGCATGTATAGTAACTTGCCAAATGCATACAATTTAACACACAGTCATTTAATCTTGCCAATAGTTTTTTCAAAGGTAAGTGCTTTGTATAGGTCTTTATCTTCCTGTTAGCTGTTGCTAGGTTTTCATAGTCCATCATTTTGTAAGTGAGAAGAGCATGGAATTGGTAGCTGCATAGAGGGGGTTTGAAAGCTAGCTCTCCTATATAGCATGCAGGACAGTATGGCCTTAAACTTTATTTAGCCTCTCTGGGCCTCAAAAGTTTTTTTACATTTTGTAAAATGAGAATTAAATTAAATGAGATAATGTAATACATACACATAATGATACACAATTGAAAATAAAATAATACATGAATATAGTAATGAGGGAAACATTAATGCACATAATAGGAAATAAAGTTCAATTTCTTTTTTACTTTTTATTTAGTACCTGGACTGATCTTTAAAATTTGCAGTTTATATTAGGATATTTTAAATAAATCTAAGATAATTTGTTGCAAAAACTCTCTAGCCAATACATCATCAGAAACTAATTAAAGCAATACAAATTACAAAAAATAAAAGATTATATTCATAATTACAAAATTTTTTACAAATTAATACTACGGGCTTATGACAGTTAACTAAGCTGGCTCTCGTTTACTGTATCAAGGTTGCAAGGCCTTAACATGTTCTGAAAGACTCAGTGAAATTACTATCCCATTTTTGTCTTCTAATGAAAAATTATGACTTGTTGATATATACATAACTCTTGTGCCAGGCACTGTGCTAGGAACGGGATATATACTAATGGCAACATATCGCCACATTTAAAAAATATATTTTATTGATTTCTGAGAGGAAGGGAGAGCAGGAGAGAGAGAGAGAAACATTAATGATGAGAGAGAATCATGGATCGATCGACTGCCTCTTGCACGCTCCCCATAGAGGATCAAGCTCATAACCTGGACATGTGCCCTGGCTGTGAATCGAACTGTGACCTCCTGGTTCATAGGTCAACACTCAACAACTGAGCCACACCAGCCTGGCATATCTTTACATTATTTAATAGGGAAAATCATAGGATACAAAAATATGGTAGATAGGGAACGGTTGAAGCATGGAGAGAAGGGCTTAACTGGGCCTGAAACGGGGCAGGAGAAATTTTTTTGGAATAGAAATTAGCCAAGTAAAGAAGGAGCTGAATACAAAAGGATTCCAAGCAGACTAACCTCAGAGGAAAGCGTCCATAGTCTCCTAGTAAACTGTGGGTTTTAATGGGGAGGGAGCTAAGGGTAGAAATGTCAGGTGACATTTAGGGGGTGGGCGGGTTGGTGGTAGCTATCAGCTCTTTAAGGGGTTTGGACCATTGAGTTTACCTTGGCAAATTGTGGAATTGAATTGGAAAGGGTCGAAACTAGAAGCTGAGATGCTGGTGAAGGGACTATTAAAAAAAATCCACAGAAATTTTTGAAAGGATATGAAGGGCGAGGAACCTAGATTGACTCTTAGGTTCCAGATTGAGTGACTATAAGTACATTTTGGGAGCAGTTAACCATGTTAGAAGACACACAGAACTGGTCATCCAGCAACGTTGATAAGATGTTGGAATTTAACTCTTGTTTATATCAATTAGCCTATGGTGAATTGGTTTCACTTCACTCCTTTCCCTGAAGTTCCCAGAACCTGTCCAGGACTTTAAGTGAGGATTTACTTTAACCGGGGAAGGGCGGAGTACAGAGGACCATGGAGGAGGATTAAGATTGGGATGATAGGTGACTCCTATCATTGGCCTTTTGGTTGCTCTCAGGAGTGACTATTGTCATAGTTAGGGTTTGGAATAGGTTTCTAGTTCAGGTATCCCTGCTTTTTGAAAGTTCATGTTGTACCACTTTGCTTTTATGAAGACCTACATTAGTATTATAGTTTTGGCCTTGAATTTGATGATGCCATAGGCCTCTGCCAGAGACCTGTGATATAGGATGGTCTTTGCAATCTGATCAGTCTTGGCTCAGGATTTGTTATGAACAAGTTGTGTCCTCTGTAAGTAGTAAGACTGGGGAAGATTTATCAGACTCTCTTAGATGCTGTGAAGCCCATTTACTTAGTGAAAAGAACTTATAAGAAACTTAATAGGTTTGTTGAGGAAGATTTATTTATTGATGTAGAATCACTACTTTAGCAAGCACCTGAGATCCCTGCTTCTAAGGAATCTTAAGATTTAGCTGGTAAGTCAGGATGTATGTGAAATGCTTTAAAAAGAGGCCTAAGGTATTTTATAACAAAGCATGTTTATTTCTCTATTCACTCACTTCAGTGAGGAAATTCTAAGAAAAGGAAGGTTGTGTTTGTAAAATATGTAATATGAGTATAATATTTAAGTTGTAACATACAAATTATGGCTCTAGTTGTTAATATGTCGTTTTTTCATATCCAGTCTCTAAATCACCTGTGTCTTTAACACATAAATAATGATTTTTGTGCCATTTGGCTTCTCACCAGATCTGAAGTAATAGCTTTCATCCCTGCCTCACTGTATGGTTCTAGTCTCTCATCTCAACCATGTCCTAGAACCATCATCAGAGGCTTAATATGGGGAGTGTTTCCTTCTTTGGCCAGACCTTCAGCATTGGTAGGGTATTCTGTATGTCCCAAAGACACAGTGATACCTAGTCACTGAACACAATGTAAAGGAAAGCCTAAGACCTCTACTGGTAAGTGTAGTAGGCTAGACTGCCACTAGAGTGAGGCTGTTCTTCAAATTAACCAGCTTACAACTGAATTTAAATACAACCTGTTGGTGAAGTGAGGACAGCTGGTATTTCTATAGGCTGTTACCAAATAAATAGAAAAAACAAAGCAAAACAAAAAATCCTCAAGGGGGTACACTTAAAGCCCATATGAAAGACTGTGAGTCATAGGAGTTTCTGGACAAGTTTCCTCGAGCTTGTCTGTTGTAAGAGTAAGCAGGTGTATCCAGGTAGGTGACAGACATCTACATAAGCCAAGTAGGCAGGCCCATTATATAAATGTTGGAATTCTCTAAAGGAAAGGCAATCTGCCTGTTTCATGCAATCTGTGTACACTTAAAAAAAATTTTTGTATTTCATTTCTGAAAAAGATTTCAGATACTATATTCGTGTTTATATATATATGTATATATATGTACTATATTCGTTTTTATGTATATATAAAACTCTGGCATTAAAATTAGTTAAGTGGCTACCATGGTTTTATCAGGGTGATGAAAATAGGTATGCAGTTGAAATCTACTTCCTCAGCTGGTGCTTTCCCAGAACTCAGTACCATGGCTTTATGCTTTGATGCAGAACCTTTTTACACGTTTGCCTTATTTTCACAATCTAAAGGTAACTTTAAAGCTGGAAATAATAGTCATTTTTATAAGGCATTTAAAAGATCTTTATGCCATAGATACAGAAAACATAGTTTCTAGTAGCCTTTATAGTCTTTTAAAGAAAATTAACTTCAGACCACAGGTTATATTTTTATTTTAAATAAAAAACCAGATATCACAACTCCTTATATAAATAACCAGACACCAACAAGGCTCACTACAATGTTTTTATTATGATAGGTTTTCTTATTTTGTCTATTATTTAAATAGAAATTTATTTAAATTCCTTCTTAAATAAAAATTACACAAAAATTACATGATTTTTTGCCGAAACCGGTTTGGCTCAGTGGATAGAGCGTTGGCCTGCGGACTGAAAGGTCCCAGGTTCGATTCCGGTCAAGGGCATGTACCTGGGTTGCGGGCATATCCCCAGTGGGGGGTGTGCAGGAGGCAGCTGATCGATGTTTCTCTCTCATCGATGTTTCTAACTATCTCTCTCCCTTCCTCTCTGTAAAAAATCAATAAAATATATTTTTTTTAAAAATTACATGATTTTTTTATGTTTCAGCCCCAGTACATCTCTATGAATAGAGATAACTTTGTTTAAAAAATTTTTATTTTTCAAAAGCCTGTTTTACATCTAAGAAGTATGGCTATTTACTTATCTTCTGATTCTAAGATTTAGAAAATAAGTTGGCATAGCATTGAAAATATAGTTTCTGTACTTAAAAAGGGGGAAACAACTGTAGCAGTAAGTTGTTACCATACATATACATACAGGTTCTGTTCTTAGGAGAAATTTCTAGAGGAAATCTTGAATATGCAGTAAGGAGGAAAAAGGAGGTTGAGAAATGGGTTAATTATAGAGGGGATAATTTAGTATAACCTTTACTTTAAGTTTGTAATTGTAGTTCCTAGAAAGCATTTAATTGTTGAGGGCTGGAGGAAAGCAACAATACAAATTGGGATCTTATTTTAATCGAGACAGTTTTGTTACTGTGTTAAGAGCTGAAGGGACTTTTATAGGCTTTGTGGATTCAAATGTGCTCTATTTGAATTTAATTGAGACTTCATTCTCTTTTGGAAATTTTAGTGTTTACTTTTCATGTCTCCCAAAGACCATTTTGTTCTGAGACTGGGTATCATATTCAGCAGTCTAAGTAGCAGGGTTGTCGTGTTTTTCAGTAAGCTAGGTGGAGCATTGCACTCATCTAGGGTGTCCCCTTACGGTTCTGCCCCTTATTCTAACTTCCTACAGTCAGATGCCGCATAACGATGTTTGGGTCAATGACTGACTGCATATACAACAGTGGTCCCGTAAGATTAGACCGGAGCTGAAAATTCCTATCTCCTAGTGACGTGGTTATAGCATGGTGCAGTACACAAATACCATTGTAGCAGGTGGTATAGGTTCGTAGCCTAGAAGCTGTGGGGGAATAGAACTTGTCACCCCAAAATATGTCTCTTTGGCATAAGGATTATTTTAGGCTGGTTTATTTTAAGAAACAGCAGATGTGGGATAAGTTCTGAAAACCAAATAAAGTTACCCTGTGTAACAGACATTTACATTGTAAGGGAAATCTCCATTTGCCAGGGTGTCTCCCTGCCTGTACCAGGAAGAGGGGATGACCTTATCTCTAGAAACTCTTATTAATGGGGAAGATAATGACAAAACTGCATAACCACCTTAACCCTGGTTTACTGTGCTTTTCCTGGAACCTTCATCACTGACTACCGCCAACCCCAGCATCTTCCATGTTTACTGAAGATGTTATTTAAGGTGGTGGGTCCAGCTATTTTGGTGAGACCTAGTTTTCCTGGATATTCTCCAATGTATCCAGGAGGTATCTGTGTTATTAAACTATTTTGGTTTCCTTCTATTAATTTGTCATTTATTATAGATGTCTCAGTTAAGAGCCCAGAGGGTAGAGGAAAAGTTATTTTTCGTCTCCTGCAAAGCAGTAGGTTATACCATACAGCCTAGGTGTGCAGTAGGCTATACCATCTAGGTTTGTAAGTGCCTCTGTGATCACACAACCACATCACCTCACAACGCAGTTCTCAGAATGGATCCCCGTTGTTAAGCGGCACCTGACTTTTCTTTTTAGACTTATTTTAGTTCAGCAGCTCTGGGTTCTAGACAGGGTGCTACTTGCTAAGAAATCATAGAAAAGTTCCCTTACGACTAACTATCTCATTTAAAACAGGTGAATTGAACTATTATTTCCTTATTCTAATACCTGGCCTTGTTAAGACATTGTAGATGACTAGAAAGAGAGAAAAAAGCAAGACTGGGAGCAGTTACTTGCAAATATGAGAGAAAGGACTGAGCTCGGGGGGCTGGTAGCAGTGGCTGCTTGTATCTTTTGAATGTTCTCTGTATGCCAGACACTGTGCTAGGCACTGTTGATGAGTTAAATCATTTTACCCTCCTACCACACTAGATAGGAGTTTTTGTTCTTGTCTTATAGATGAGGAAACCAAGCTTTAGAGAAGTTAACTAATTTTGACCAAGGTCACAGTGTGTAAGTGGTAGAGCCAGGACTCAAAGCCAGGCGGTCTAATTCAGGCTCTGACCTCTTAACCACTGAGTGCGCTTAGGGATGAGTTGGGACAAGTGGTGCAAAGCCCAACAGAAGGAAAAACACCTAGCATGCTGGTCTGCCCCCTGGCTAATGCCTTCATTAATGAAGTGAGGCAGTTGTGGTCATTACTTGTGGAATCACAGTTCAGGTTTGTTTGTTTATTGGTTTGTTTTCTTGCTTAAGGAAGAAAAATGTATTCAGAAGGAATCATTCTGCTGCTAGACTTTTCAGAATTCTTTAATTCTGTTACGCAAGAAGATCTGTATAGCAACACCTCACGTTTGAATAGTGTTGTGTACTTTCCAACTAAAGATGTTTTTATTTTTTATTTAAGCTCATAATAGCCCTGAAAGGCAAACGGTACAGATTTTCCCCCCTTACATTTGACGAATTAGGAAGCTGAGACTGAGAAAGTTTAAATGACAAGGTCATTTACAAGTCAAAAAGAAACAGTTGAAATTAGTTTTGTTTGTTTTTTAACTTGTTTTTTTTATTGCTTAAAATATTACGAGTAGTACATTTGTCTCCTTTTTTGAAATTAGTTTTAATATATTCTATGGAACCCAAGATATAACTAAAATATTACTATTTTAACATCTAATCAGTATAAAATATTGAAATAGTTTCCTTTTTTAATACTAAATAATAGCAATCTGCTATGTATTTTATACAGATGAATTTGGACTAGCTATTTATCAGTGGTCAGCAGCCATGTCCGAATAATGGCTACCATTTTACACAGTGCAGACAAACACTCAAATAGTTTGAGTGATATGCTAGGTCCTGGATCAGTTCACAGAAATCTATTTTACAAAAATGGAACTCTATCAGTTCCATCTTCTCCTCATCCGTTAGGAGCGCTTGGATTCTGTGACTTAGATTTCTTCACTATATTAATCCATGTTCTGATGGGCAGACACCGTCAGGTGTCTCTTTGTTGCCATTCTCTATAGATGACAGGCAGCTGAATGAGATTGATCACTGTTCTGAAGCAACATGGAGCTTTTCCAAAGGAGTTGCAGGCTAGGTGTCCTTTACGTTGTAAGGTCTAGAAGAGCAGCACTTTGTATCTTGGAGTTCAGTGATGTGGTCATGGTTCTATGTACTGTAACTTAGTTTCCTTTGAAAGTAAATTATGGAAGAGATGGGAGAGTTTTAAAAAAAAGATTTTCAACTTGTAAAATAATTTTTATGCTAAATTTTTGGCTTTAGAAAACTGTATGTTATTGTTTGATGTGACACTTCTATACTTCAAAGTATTTATATACCGAGTTCTCTCTAATAAGACTGTTTTACTACTGCTAGATTTTTAAAACAGTTTCTCCAAAAATAAATTAAGTGTTCATGCTAATTGACTCATCTTTTGCCATTGTCTTTCCATCAATTTTTTAAAAATACTTGATCCATATAAAGTAAAAGATGGGCCTCCATTATTTAACATATCACTAATGCTCTAAAACTTGGTAAAGCATGTCAAAACCTGGACTGATTCTGGCTCTCCGGGAAGAAAGATAATGTTTGGTGTGTCTTCAATATTAAGGTAATTGCCAGATAGTTCTTTACCATATAACTTTATAATGATATGGTTAAAAATTGGTATTTTTGTTAACAATAATTTTATATGACAAAGCAAATGTGAATTATTAAATCAAGCCCCATGGCAGGCAGTTAAGAAATGTTTCACTTAGAAATAATTTCTGGATATCAGTTACAATTCAGCCTTTCCTTGACTTCCCTGCCTATCCTTGTGTCTTTTATTTTTAGGACTCCCATACAATTGGTCTTAACCACCGTAAGGAAGCCGTATAGTGCCAGAGCCCCTCGCCCTGTTGTGTCACAGACAGTGGAAGTAGGGTAGGCATGGAAAGCAGGGCTCATGTCCCTGTGAGTTTACCTTCTGAACATGGATATTTTAATGAATTGTCAGATATGTCAGAAGTGACATGTATTTGAAAATTTTTCCCAATCAAAAATACTCAAAAGTTAACTATGTTTAACTGTAATAGCAGCCTAATTATTACTAATTTGGCTAAAGTGTTATCTTCAGCTTTTCTTTCAGAAAACTTAATTCATTTTTTATCATTTGAAACAACAATTTTTTAAGCCATTTAAACGTGCAGACCTCATTAGATGCATTAATGGAAAGGTGATGATTATATAAAAATCATTTAAAAATTAAGTGATAAATGCAGTCCCATTTTTTACTGTACATTGTCATACCGTGTCTTCTCTGCATTGCATCTATAGAAACATTTTTTTTAAATTTTATTAATAAACATTGTATCAGAGACCATCGGGCACATATATGGGAAAAGCATGCTGTCTTTGCCTATCTTTTCCAATGTATTTCACCTAAATGACAAATTCCTTATAAAAGTGTATATGTCTTATATAATAGTAATCTATTAGCATTTTATCATAACAATCCATTTCTTTCAGTTTCATATTTACATTGTTTTTTGTTTGTTTGTTTTTATTTTAGGCCACTGAACAAAAAATCAAAGGTACGTTTAAAGCTATTTTTATTCTTTTTTACTTTATTTTTATTCACCTCTAGGGTGGGAGAGAGACACGAGTGAAAGAATCAGAGGGGTGGGGGCAGACTTCTTCAGAGGCACCACACTGGAGTTATCCTTTGGGGTTCGTGCTTTATTGTGATGGATATTACACTTTTAGAATAAACTGCCTCAGGACCTATTTTACAGCTGTCTCTGAAGATGAACACCACTTCCTAACAAACTTCCTTGGTTTAAGTATGTGAGCACAGGGACCTTTCCTTCTGTCTTCCATCAGAAGTCTTATCTGGGGCTACCTCTAGGACTCACCTCGTCCCTTGCTTTATTTCTTGCTGTTGTCTGTATACATTGTGTCCTACTCCATCGTGTAAGCAGACCTGACATCCACTCTATATTATCACTGAAGATAGGAGATTGCTAACCTTATGGTCATTTGTACCAGGTTGAACAGCTCCCAGTATATAGCAGGCAAAAGACTTCAGGGAGGTAAGGTAACAGGAACTGACTTCCTCTCAGATCCTAAATCAGGAATTCTTCACCCTCCCAGGAGTTGACTTACCTGCTAATGAAATGTGTAGGGCTCTCAGATGCTGAACTTATTAGGCATAAAGATTCTGAATTTTTACTCTGAGCTGTAGGGAAAGTATGTGCATTTGGTTGATACACAGTCAGTATTGCCTATTTTAATTTGTGGTCAGTGTTGGTGAAGGTAACATTTATTAGGTACAATTGTATAAGAGTGAACAAAAAATAGTTGTAGCTTATATTTTATTGGAGAAAGTGGCAATAAAAGGGCATACCCAAACATGATGTATAATATGATGTGATTTGGTTAAAGTAAAAATGTCTGAATTGTCCTGAAGTCTAGAGGGGTAATAATTAGCTTAACACAGTGGATTAAGGAAGGCCTCCTTGAGGAAGACCTTGAGGTTATGACTCTTAAAAGATGAAAGAGCCAGTCCAAAAAATAAGAATGAAAAGGCAGAGGGATCAGCATGGTGAAGGCAAGAGATAGGCAACAATGTGATGTTATGCATAGTGGTGGAATTTCTAGAACATTAAATACCCAGTGATAAGTGGACAGGTTGGAAGGGTTTCTCTGAAGAGATAGGTAGGGGTCAGGTAAAAGAGAGCTTCATATCCTGTGTGTACCAAGATGGGACTTTTATGGGCAGCTAGGAGCTACTGAAGAGTTTAAGAGGAGTGACATGGTTGGTGTTTTTTGTTCCATCTTTAAAGCTCTCAGTCATTGTGTGTGGAGAGTGTTGGCTGAAAGATGGAGCTGAGAAACAGAAAGGCACTCAGAGCAGAGGAGGCAGGTGGGCAAGACAAGGAAATATTTAAGGAGTGATTATAGGGGTGTTGGGAAGTGGCAGAATATAGGCCTGGAGGTAGGCAGACGAGTGCTTATGCTGGTTGGAGGGAGAGCCAGCAAAGGTTTCTGCATTTAGAGGTCCTGGTTATAAGCTGTGCTTTAGGAACATCTCTTTGTCAGTCGAGTTCAGTGTCACCAATAAAAGCAGTACCAGAGAGGGTAGGGAAGGCATAGAAAGGGTAACAAAGATCTCAGCTGCCGTCTTGTCAGTAGAGGCTGTGAGGCATAAACAACAACTGGTGAGATCAGAAGAAGGATTGAAGGTGATACATGGCTTTGAACCTGGATGTCTGAGAACATTGCAGGGATGTAGAATGATGTTGGGAGGAACGGTTGTCACATTACTTTAATAGGAATGTGAGCAAATTTTCTTAAAACTCCACTTCCTCACACCACTCTTTAGTTGTCCCTTGCTCTTTGCTTGAAGACCAGACTCCTCTGGTTGGCTCTCAAGGCCCTCTTTAATCTGACTTCCCATGGTCTAACCAACCTGTTTCCATCACTCCCTTACACTTTTCAGAGCAGTCTTCTCAGCCAAGGATGCCTTTTAGCCTTTCTAACCGGCTCGGAGCTTATCTTTCAGTCGATCGCCCCGACTGCCATTCGTCCCTCCTTTTCTGATTTCTTAGGACGTGATGATGTGTCTTAACTTTGGGGCACTTGATTATGTTCTCTCTTGGATTTTTGACTGGATATCCCATGGATATTTGTATCTCCAACATAACCTTTCATTACCTATTGTTTGTATCCTTTCCAAATATAAGTCATCCTTTTAGATCCATACATCAAATATGAACAGATTTGAATCTCCTGAGAATGTCAGGCTTCAGAATGCATTATGTTGTTTTGCCTGCTCTTTTACTCACTCATTCTTACTTTGATAGCAGCTACCTTCATAATTGGTCATGTTTGCTCCGATTCATGCAGGTGTGTTGCTGACCTTTGTGCTATGTGTAATGCCTATGTGGTGCTTATGGTTTGAGTTCATGGGAATTAGAGATTACCAGCTGGAAACTTGTGGGACAGGTTTGGCCCACAGTTGGTGGTGGTGTTTACTAAACTCTGTATTTTGGGATAATTTATGATTTACAGAAAAGTTGAAAAGATACTACAGAGAGTTTCCCATCTACACCTCACCCAGTTTTTCAGTTACTGACATCTTCCATTTCTGTGGTTCATTTGTCAAAACTAAGAAACCGACAGTGGCACTAACTGAACTCCAGACTTGATTTAGATTTCACCGTTTCTTCCATTAATGTCTTTCTGTTCTAGGATCCAATGCAAGACACATGACACATTTAGTTGTCATGTCCTCCCAGTCTCCTCTGGTCTCCATAGGGTGTTTGTATTATTATCCTTTAAATTTTTTATTGCTAGCATTAAAAAATTAGGAGACACCCCTCCCCCATCCAAAATTGCAGTTTTTATTGCAGTTTGTACTGTCAGCATCATTTTTTTGTCTTTCTGTATTAGAAAGTCTATATAGAGCCCAAGGTTAGTCACATGTGGCTATCGAGTCCTTGAAATGTGGCCGAGAAGCAGAATTTTAATTTTATTGGTCTGCATGTCTAGAGCCTTCTTGATTGTTGAGAGTCAAACTGAGCATAACTAGTTAGTGCAGCACCCCTGTGGGACTCTGCGGTAATGAGCTGGTTCTTCCTAAGGCTGCTGCCATTTCCTGTTAAGTAACACCCACCAATGTTGCTGCCGCTCAGTGGTTCAGCTGCTTGTATGAAAGTTGGATTTTTGTAAAGTTTCATAAATTAAATTCTTGACCAGCTTTTTTATGTGTAGATAACTAGATGGTTATTTCTTGGTGCAATGGATACATGATTCACCTAATAAAAACATGGGCTAGTGTAATGAGTGGCAATGAAATTCTTGAAGGTTTTACTTTTGCCTTGTGACTTGAACTTTAGAAAACTGTAAAGAGCAGGGATAGTTGAATGTTTGACTATTTGAAATATTTTAAAAATATAATTATTATGGCCCTGGCCGTGTAGCTCAGTTTTTAGAGCGTCATCCTGACATGACCAGGTTCGATCCCCAGTCAGGGCACATACAAGAATCAAACAGTGAATTCATAAATAAGTGGAGCGACAGATCTGTGTTTCTCCCCCTCCTCTCCCCCTCCTCTCTCTCTCTCTCTCAAATCAATAAATAACAGTTTTAAAAATGGTACATTATGATTATTTCCTTGAAACAACAGTGTTGAAAAATTTACAGTGAGATACAGGAATAGATGGACAAATTTAACACGCCCTGTGGCCTTTATCATGTAGGGCACATGCCTGGGTTTCGGGCTCAATCCCCAGCAGGGACGTGCAAGAGACAGCCAGTCAGTGATTCTCTCTCATCATTGATGTTTCTCTCTCTTTCTCTCTGAAATCAATTTAAAAAAAAAAAAATTAAAAGAAAGAAGTAATCCTTTTTATTGAATTTTGGGAAATGTTTGGGACCCAGAGGAGGAGCCACAGCAGCAGGCTGGGAATTCAGACTCTCCTTAGAAACCTGATGAAGAATAAAGGGCATTTAAAAAACAACAACAGGTTTTTAGTTCTTATTTTGGAAGCATGCTGATTGTACATTCCTTACAAAAGAACACACACTGCTGCCATTGCCGGTGCTGCTCAGTAGTTATAGCGTTGTCCCAGGCACCAAAAGGTGGCAGGTTCCGTTCCCAGTCAGGGCACATGCCCAGGTTGCGGGTTGGATCCTCTCTCCCGCCCTTCCTTCTTCTCTTTAAACATACATACATACATGCAGATTTATGTAAAAAAAAGTGCACTGATAATTTTTGACAGCTAATGTTTATTTGTCTATCTATCTATGAATCTATCATTCCAGTGCTTTCTTTAGGTGACTTCATAAGCAAGCTGTATTTCAGAGACTGACGAACTCAGAGCTCCTAAAGGAGGAGAGGGGAGCCTGGGATAGAAGCAGGAATAGAGAAAAACAGATTTGTTTTGTTTTCTGGTGGTCACATGGGGAAGCATAGTTTATTACTGCTGTTCTCATTCTGGATTAAAAACTCATGAAAATTGAATCAACATAATAAAACACATTTTTGTTCCTGCCACAGTTGGAAACCATTGTTCTTACTCAATTCTACGCTTACAATTTTTTTGAATCAAACACAATCTTATTGCTTAAATCCGTTGATCTAGGAAGTGATCAAAATACATGTTAAATCATTTTGGAGACATCCTGACATCTAACTGTGTACTTAACTGTGTGTGTTTCACTGTGCTTTATATACTCCATTTAGTTAAGGAAAATATTCTAAACATTTAATTACTAATAACAAATGGGCCCTGGCCGGTGTAGATCAGTTGGTTGGTTGGTTGGAGCATCATCCTGTACACCAAAACGTAGCGGGTTTGAATCCCGGTCAGGGCACATTCTCAGGGCACATTCGGAAGACAACCAACCGATCCATGTTTCTCTTTTGCTTCCCTCCTCTCCTCCCCTCCTTTGCCCTCCCCTCTCTTCCTCTCCTGACCCCCTTCTTATCTCTAAAATCAATTTTAAAACATTAAAAAATAAGCAAATGGGTACCAGTGATTCAGAATATGTACTGGAACAGGGTCCTACAGCTTAATGTCTTAAGAGT